GGTCAGTTTCAGCAGCGGCTGAATCTGGACGCCAGTTCTGACTTACATACAGATTCAACTTAAGAACAAACCCACAGTCCCTATCTTGTACGTAACCCGGGGACTGCCTGTACTTTTAATCAGTGGCAAGTTGTTAATTTTTGTGGTTTTTTCCCCGACCTCTTCCTTAAAATATGTGCTACTTCAGATTACACAATAAAACTATGCACTGGATCCCATATTCCATTGTAACAAATAAGAAAACTTTTTTGCCAGAACCTGTGATAAGTCAACTACTTTTCCTAGCTTTGAGCTGCTGAGAACATTGGCTATTCTGAATTACTAAAGTGTAACAGAGATACAAGGTAGGTGAGGTAATATCTTTGATTGGACCAGTAAAAAAAAAAATTACCTCAGCCACCTTGTGTCTCTCATATCCTGGGACCAACACAGTGCAACAGAACTGCATGCTGCAGGGTAACAGTTTCATTGTGTTCAGTTAGGAATATTAAGATATTTCAGGGTTTCTAAAAAATGGATTTTCAGATTGCTTGGCAGGGGCTCTTGAGTTTATTCTTACTCTTCTATTTGTATTCTGTCAGCATAAAACCAAATGTTCTTTAGATTAATAGTATGCAAAAAGTTTGGGTTTTCTGTAAACAATTTATTACTGTGCAGATAGCTGTCCAAGTGGCTTATCTTTCCAAGTAGAAGATGGGTTAACAGGCCTCATGCTTGCCATTGATTGCCAACAGTAGTCCTTGAACAGTTAAGGCAAGGAGGTGATACATATGTACTGGATGACTGAATTAAAGGCAGTGTTCTCTTTAGATTGGGCAAATAGAGTACATGGCAATCAGAACAAACTCTCCACCATAATGTTCCAGCAGTCAGGCAGGAACAAACAGTGTCATTGATTTTTTGGGGGGGGGTTGTAAACTTCTGATAATCCAGCACCTTTAGGACCCAGGAGGTGCTGGATTATCAAATATGCTGGACTATCAGAAGGGGGGGGCTATAAAGGGGTCTGGAGTGGGGTGGGGGGGAAGCCACCCCAGCCCCCTCATAGCCCCCCCTTCCGATAGTCCGGCTATGCCCCAGGCGTCCTCCATTCAGCCGCTGCTGGTCAGCGCTGCGAGACCAACCCGGCAGCACCCCAGCTGCTCTGCCCCAGGCGCCCCTATTTAGCTACTGCTGAAACTGATCAGCGGCCAACTCTGGGAAACCCGGGGGCAGAGCAGCTCCAATTGTCCAGCTGCCCCAGCACTTCCGGGTTCCTGATGGTGCCGGACCATCAGGAGTGCCAGAGCATTGGATGCCGGACCAATGGAGTTTTACTGTATTTGGTTTTTTGTTTTGTAACCTAGTATTTTTCTGGATAGAATCTTTTTTCAAGTCAGAACAAGATCAAATAGTAAAAACAAGATAAATCTGGTTCACCAAAAGAACAGATTTATTAAAAATGAGGTAAAAAATAAATATCCCCATACAGAGTCATGTTAGGTCAAAGTAATTCTTTTTGCTGTATCTAAAAATAAGCTGTTCTTATTCATTTTGTGCAGGTCTTCAAAACTAAGTGCAGGTAAAGAGAAGGATCTGCTCCCTTCTCCTGTAGCCCCAGTCCTTCAGAAAGATCCCAAGCAAGAACATGGGTCCCGGAAGAGAACAGTCAGTCAATCTTCTTCCTTAAAATCAAGCAGCAACAGTAATAAGGAGAGTAGCAGCAGCAGTAAAAGTAACTCCTCTTCCAAACAAAAAAAGACAGAAGGGAAGTCTTCTAGCAGTGCCAAGGAAATCAAGGTAAGGAGTTTTTGTAAATTCTTTCCTCTAATATTCACTGTTTCCCTGTGTGCAGTTTTGCACGTCAATGTATATTCTAAGCTTTGATTGAAGCTTAAAACTCTGAAAAACTAAATTACATTTTACTCCCTGTGGTACTACACAAATAATTAGATTATAAGGAAGCCTGTAAATGGAAAATAACTCAGCAGCTATTCAGTAGAATTGTAGTGTCCCTGGGATAGGTTGGTGCTAATGTTATATGCAGAGCTCAACAATTAGTGTAATCTACTCACCAGTGGCAAGTAGATTACAAGCTGGCACAGCTGTGCAGCGCCGTCAGCGCATGCGCAGCACGCCGAACTGCGTGGCTGGCAAGCAGGGCTTGCTGCCACTTGATGAACCCTGGTTATATGCACAGATGTGACTAGTGTTTTCTAATGACAGGTTTGACCTCTCTGGTTCAGCACCCTTGGGACCTGACCAGTCCCAAATGAGGGAATTTGCTTTACATCAGGAGGTTCCCTGCTGCCAGTCCCCAGCCCACCTCCCCTCCCAGCTGCCAGCCCTAGCTGCCCCATCTGGTGGGCTGCCTTGCTGCTGTGACCTAAGAAGTCCCTGCCTCTGGCCCAGCCCCATTCCCAGGACAACCCCAGCCAGCCCTCTTGACCCCTGGAGCTCCCAGCCAGGACTCCCTGGTCCAGGAACATGGACTATGGATGTTGCCAGACAAGAAAGTTCTTGTTTTGGGAGGTCCACTGTGAATAAAGATTGTTTATTCATCATTTAATTTGGTTAAGAACATTAGAACAGCCATACTTGATGAGACCAAAGGTCCATCTATCTCAGTATCCTTCTTCCAACAGTGGCCAATGCCAGATGCCCCAGAGGGAATAAACAGAAACAGGTAATCATCAAGTGTTCCCTCTCCTGTCATCTGTTTTCAGCCCCTGACAAATAGAGACTTAGGGACACCATTCCTGTGCATTCTGGCTAATCAGCAGGGCTCGCAGAACCGCGGTGAGCCCTGCTTGCTAGCTGCGCTGTCCAGCGATCTGCACATGCGCAGATCGCCTGAACCCGGCTCTTCCGGGTTGCAATCTACTCGCCACAGGTGAATAGATTGCATTCTTTGTCAAGCCCTGCTAATAAGTATTGATGGACCTAACCTCCATGAATTTATCTAGTTCTTTTTTGAACCCTCTTAAAGTCCTGGTCTGCAACATCCTCTTGCAAGGACTTCCATAGGTTGACTATGCGATGCATGAAGAGAAATTTCCTTTTGTTTATTTTAAACCTTCTACCAGGTGTCATTTTTCAGAGTTATTTATATAAAAATAAGAAAACAATAATATATTCTTTTATATGGATCAAATAATTGAGCCAGTTGTGATTTTTTTTTGCAGATTTTACTTCTGACTATAAAAGAAAAGATAGTACAGTCATCCCCTCTCCCCCCCTCCCACTCCCACCCCTCACAATCATGAGGATGTGTTTCAAGATAAGACCATTCACAGGCTACAGAGTTAGTGTGCTGACTTGCCTTGCTTGCCAGATGCTAGGTGGATCTGATTTGTCCTGGGGAGTTCTGCAGTTGTTGCGTTTGGAGCCATATTAAAATTGCAGAATTCCCTCATTGTGTGGGTAGGTTTTGAGTCCTCAATCTCTGGCTCTGGAGGCACATATCTTATCCATTGTGCCACTTGAGGAGCCCCCCAACCACCCTATCTGCAGGCCCCTCTTTATCCTTCCTGTGTTCAGGGGTGCCAGATCCATCAAATAGTTGAGCTAATTGTGATTTTTGTAGATTTTACTTCTGACTATAAAGGAAAAGATAGTGCAGCGTGTTGTCCGTTCCCCCCCTCCCTCCAGCGCGATTTGATTTGCTGCAGTCGGGAGAATAAAGTGGTTTATGTTTGAGGATGGGAGAGAAAAAGGGAGATTTTGGGGGAAAAAATCTTTAGAAACTAAACTCAGAAGGCAGCTCAAACTAAATGTATTCTTGTGACATTACACATGTGTGGAGAAGGAATTATGGAGTCTGCCTGCTCACGCCTATATAAATGGGTCATGCATAATATCTGAGGATGTCTGATTAAAACAGTATTAAACCTAGGTGTACGATGGACAGGCAAAATACAGCCCATAGGCTGGATATGGTCCACCTGTGGCCCAGTGGGAGCCTTAGACAGGCTCTCTTCCTGCACACTGCTCAAAGTGATGAGCTGCTGGGGCCATGTGCTCTCTGCATGCCAAGGGGGGGGCAGCTTTGCACACTGCCCCTGCTCCCAAGCACCATCTTGCAGCTCTTGTTGGCTGGAAACTGGCCAATGGGAGCTGCCTGGGTCGGGCTTGCGATGCAGGCAGTGGGCGGAGGACCTCCTCCCAGTGGTGTGCAGTGCACAGAAATACACATGGCCCCCACAGCCAGCTACAATGAGTGTTGTGCGGGGCACAGCAGGCTTCTCCTGAGGTGCAGAGTCTGGCTGGGAGGTGCTTACCTTGAGTAGCTCCTGGCCAGCAGCCTAGCAGGGTTCTGCACCTGGCACTCCTCCTCCTCCCCAAACCTTCTGCATCCCCGCTCCTGCACTCATTGCCCCCTGCCTTAGGTCACTACTCAGACCCCCATACCCCATCATGTACACCTGTTCTAGGTTACAACCCAACCCCTTACATCCCTCCTCCAGGTCGGAATCCTTTCCTAAACCTGTATCTCCTCCTGGACCCTGCACCTTGATCCCCTGCCTATGCCAAACTCCCTTCTGCACCGAAACTCCATCCCAGGCCCCACACCACCTCCATTAATATCATGGAAGAATGCGGCCCTTGACTACTTACTAAATTCTTGGAGTGGTCCTCTCCTCCCCCCATCAAAAATCATTGCTTACCTGTAGTATACGATAAGCAGTTCTCACTGACTGCTGTGCTGTCAGATGGCAAGAATATAATGTGCTAAGGGCAAAATGTGACTACAATTCACAAGACCTGAATTGCATTGTAGGATGTTGGTTCCATCTTGTCTTGAGGCTTCTGCAATAAATAGAGGTTCAAAGCAGTAGGGATGAAATTGGTATGTTGCTGTATTTGGCACATCTTAAATGGCTAACCTCAGCAATGTATGAAGAAAAGATTTGAAGCAAAGTCAGAGGAACTAATCATGACAGCTGTGTGTGCAGATTGAAGCAACTGCTATTCTAGATCACAAACTTACTTTCTTCTCAAATGAGCGAAATATCTAAAGTAGGAGTGGAGACAACAACCTTAGATGGTGACTTCATCAGATTTTGTAAGCCAGGCAGGGTTCGTCTAGTCTGTGCATGCATGAGAGGCTTCCAAGGAACCTGGAGGTGCCTCAGGGAATTGTATTATAGATTCACAGACACCCGTTTTTTCCTCTGCATTAGCACAGAACCAAGTCTGGGCTATTTTTTAAATGAGAGTAATTAGTATCGCCTTATGTTCAGTTGGGGTTTAATTCCTGGCTTTAATTAGTATATTTGTGTGTGTGCCACTGAACGTTTGCGACAGCTGGGTGTATTTCTGTTCTGAAGTGGGTGAATGGAGATGATATATTGTTGTTTTTTAAGCATTGAAAGTTTGTCTTTCGCCTGCAGAAGTTGGTTCCATAAAAGATACTACTATGTCTCTTACTTGCTATGTCATGTTGAACTGAGGTTTAAGGCTCCTAACACATTTTGGATGCTTGAAACTTCTGAAATAGATAGTCCCATGTTAGTAAAAGCCATGCTACAGAGTCGATTCTTCTGAAAGGAACAGAAAAGCAGAAAACACTTGCAGCACCTTTTCTAGCAGGATAATAAAATACATGGAAGTTAGTCATTACTAGGTTGAGGAGGGGAATTCAGGTTATTCTTGGAAACCTTTTGTCTGATTTGTTTTAGCAAAAATCCATTTGGCCTGTCAGGGAGGCTTGTAAGGGAGCTGATTATGGTTCCTTGATCATTGGTCTGGCTGTACCCAAACATATGTTGGAGCACCAGTGATGAAGAGAAGCCTTTCAAACTCATGATGTGCAGGTAGTAAATGTGAACTAACATGCTACTAAGCTGACCTTCTAGTATGTATTTCATAGAACACTAGAACTGGAAGAGGCCTGGAAAGGTCATCGACTCAAGTCCCCTGCACTCACGGCAGGACCCAGTACCGTCTAGACTGTCCTGATAGATGTCGATCTAACCTGCTCTTTAAATATCTCCTGAGATGGAGATTCCACAACCTCCCTAGTCAATTTATTCTAGTGTTTAACCACCTTGACAGGAAATTTTTTCTAATGTCCAACCTAACCCTCCCTTGCTGCAGTTTAAGCCCATTGCTTCTTGTCCTATCCTCAGAGGCCAAAGAGAACGATTTTTCTCCCTTCTCCTTGTGTGACACCCTTTTAGATACTTGAAAACTGCTATCATGTCCCCCCTCAATCTTCTCCTTTGCAAAGTAAACCAGCCCATTCTTTCCGTCTTCCTTCATAGTTCGTGTTCTCTAGACCTTTAATCATTCTTGTTGCTCTGCTCTGGACCTTCTCCAATTTTTCCACATCTTTCTTGAAATGTGTTGCCCAGAACTGAACACACTACTCCAATTGAGGCCTATTTAGCACAGAGTAGAGCAGAAGAATGACTTCTTGGGTCTTGCAGACAACACTTGTATTAATGCATCCTAGAATCAGGTTTCCTTTTTTTTTTTTGCAACAACGTCACACTGTTGACTCATATTTAGCTTGTGGTTCTCTGACCCCTAGATCCCTTTCTGCAGTACTCCTTCCTAAACAGTCACTTCCCATTCTGTATGTATGAAACTGATTGTTCCTTCCTAAGTGCAGTACTTTGCATTTGTCCTTATTAAAGTTCACCCTGTTCACCTTGATGAACCATTTCTCCAGTTTGTCCAGATCATTTTGAATTATGACCCTGTCCTCCAAAGCAGTTCCAACGCGTCTCAGCTCTTGGTATCATCTGCAAACTTAATAAGCTTACTTTCTATGCCAATATCTAAATGGTTTGATGAAGATAGTGAACAGTACTGGTCCCCAAACAGACCCCTGCAGAACCCTACTTGTAATGTCCTTCCAGCATGATTGTGAACCATTAATAAGTACTCTCTGAGAAGGGTTATCCAGCCAGTTATGTACCCACCTTATAGTAGCCCCATCTAAGTTGTGTTTGCCTAGTTTATTGATAAGATCACGCGAGACTGTATCAAATGCCTTACTAAAGTCTAGGTATACAATGTCCACCGCTTCTCCGTTATCCACCAGACTTGTTATCCTGTCAAAGAAAGCTATCAGATTGATTTGACATGATTTGTTCTTTACAAATCCATGCTGGCTGACATTTATCACCTTATTTTCCTCTAGATATTAGCAGATGAATTCCTTAATTACTTGCTCCATTATCTTTCCTGACAGAGAAGTTAAACTGACTGGTCTGTAGTTTCCTGGGTTGTTCTTATTTCTTTTTTTATAGATGGACACTATATTTGCCCTTTTCCAGTTTTCTGGAACCTCTCCTGTCTTCTGTGATTTTTTTCAAAGATGATGGCTAACACATGTGAGACCACCAGGAAGAAATTAAGCAATGAACAATCATCTTTTTTTAGTAGATTTCTAAATGCTTTCATAATTACTAATTGTGGCAGTCTTTCCTTCACAGGAAAAAGTTCTAAACAGTTCATCAAACTGTCCTCCTGCATCCACCCCAGCTACTGAAAGCTCGAAGTCCAGAAGAGCAAAACTTGTTTTTGATGACAGGTGAGAACAGTGGAAAGTGCTATGCACATTACATTTCCTCTTCTCTAAATAGGGAATTAATTTGGGTGTGTAATTGTATAGTAGCTTCCTATGGATGAGAGATGCTTTGCCTTGAGTGTACCATGTTGTTCTGTGGAGACCTGCATGTTGTTCATGTAATCGTATGCCTGATATATGTATCAAAAATTTGCTAGATGTTCCAGTCATTGCAAAGGAATCTATGATTCCTTTGTGCATTTGTACTCAGCCTGAAACAAGCAAGAAGTGGATTCTGACAGTATGTGATTGTCTTGTGTCCATTTTTAAGAAATACTAGTCTCCCTTTCTACAGGCTTATTTCATACCTCTCCAGACAAGTCTGCCTGTCCACTTTGGGCTGAGCTGGCTTCCCCTGGAGTCAGTGACTGCTCGCAGGCATGATGAGGATGGCATTGCAGATGCACAAAAGTGGGAACTTGGAATCATTTGGTTCTGTGCTGTCTAAGTTAAAATATTTTGGAGGATCTGATTCAGTTTAAAAAAAAAAGTGCTCAAGTGAACAAATTCACATCAAGATCATGCATGCATGATCTTATTTCATGCAGATAGCTGGGTGTTCTGTACAGGGGCTCTGTTCCAGTTTTATCAACTAATTCAAGGTTGGTTGATTTAAAAGTATTGCTTTCTGAATTAAGTACTTTTAGGGGCCAACACAAAGGCAAACAGCCTGATTACAGGAATAGTTTGCGTCGTCTTCTACTAGATATTGCCAGACAGAATCAAGTTATGATGGAGTTAATATTTGGAGCACACATCTATAGTTCCAAGGAAGTTGTATTTGGCTTGGGGATAACTACATTAAAGCCAGGAATTTCAGAGTTCAGGTTACACTTAAAAGAAATACATATTTATTAAGGTATGGCACGCAGGTGGTTTTGACTGCCCTTCAGTGACTGTATAATTAAGCATTTTAATATTTTTGTTTTGAGGTTATGGTAAACTGACCTATAAAGATATTAGGTTTTTTCCTTTTATAGAGTGAACTAGTGCCCCCTAAAAAATATGATTCACTTTTAAATGAACTGTTATAAAATTGTGGGGTTTTTTTAAAATGAAATTGGGTGTGCCTAGTGCTCCCTATTGTTGTGAAATAGGGGACTGGTTAACTCCACCTATTTGTGTATTTGGGAACTCTTGTTCAGATTTTAGTCAATGACCTTGTAAAATATATTGTTTAATAGGAATGAGCAGTCCTATTAATCTCTAGAGACTAGTAGAAAATTAAAGATCTTATAATTACTCTTTCGAGCTTGATTTAGGACATGAAGCCATATACCACAAATCAGCTTGTGTGACCGAAGTTCAAAAATAACAATGGAATTACTGATTCTGTCTTGATTTCTTCTGAAAGTTTCACATCTGTGTTAATATTACCCTTTGTCATCTGCAGATTGGGAGCTCTGCACAGGGACATGTCAGATCAGGGGTGGGCAATAATTTTTGGTGGGTGGCCACTCCCAAGATTTTGGAAAGTGATCAAGGGCTGCAATTTTCTGTGGAGGAGATGTGGGGTCTAGGCTGGATACAGAAGGGTGCACGTGGTAAGGGACTGGGGTGCAGGAGATGGTGTGAGTCTGAGAGGGAGTTTGGGTGAAGGGAAGGGGTTGAACTAGGTTTGGGGATTGGGCTGCAGGGTCTGGGTGGGTGTTCGGTTGTAGGAGAGGATTCTGGTCTGGGGGAGGGCTGTATGAGGGGATACAGAGCCTGAGAGGGAGTTGTGACCTAGAACTGGGGGGTGCAGAGGGTTTGGATGGTGACCTGGGGGAGGGAGTTGGGGTGCAGGAGGGGCAAGGGTACCAGAGGCAGGCTCTGGCTGGGAGTCACTTACCTAAGTACTCCCAAGGCAGGCTGGGCTCCCTGCCTGCTGCAGCCCCACATAACTTAGAGCTGCAGGCTGTTCCCTCCATGTGGCTCTTGGCTTCGGGAGGGGGAAGAGGCTTGGGCTGCCCCTATACCCAGGCCAATCTCTCAGATCCTGTTGGCTGGTTGTCAGTTCCTGAGGATTAGACTGGGGGCAGAGAGATCACATGAAGCCTCCCCTTTCCGCCAGAGCAGAGAGCTGCTGGACTGTCCTTTAAATCTGTGGCACCTGTGTGCCTGAGGGTCCCAGCTGTGTGGTCTGCAGGCCAGATCTGGTGGCTTTGTGGGCTGGATCTGGCCCCTGGGCCATATTTTTTCCAGCCCTGTGTCAGCTGACAACAATGATTGAGCTAATGTCTCTGATTTGCTTGGCTAGGAAATGTGGAATAAGATTGGTAAATCCAGTGACTCTTAGTTGTCTTAAAACAGTAGTTGGAAATAACCAAAGTAACTACATTTAACTGTTTAAAAGGGTCTTTTATTATAAACACTATATGTGCTATAACTTGAGGAAGGAAAAAAATAACCATCAAAAGATCCTATAGGTACAAACCTTGACACGCAAAGAGATCAATTTTTAAATCTTATTAAACTCAGTTTTGTTTGTTTGTTGCAGGACACATTCAGCTGATCATTATTTACAAGAAGCGAAGAAGTTAAAGCACAATGCAGATGCATTAGTAAGTAGAACCAAAATAATCTATTTAGAGGGTTGCACGTACTGTTAAATTGGTTTAACTCCTTTTGAACTTGTACTCTTCTTTAGTGCTGTAATTCTCTCCCACATCTGTCTGTTTTTTAAAGTTTCATTCTCTTCAGTCTGACAGATTTGAGAAAGCTGTTTACTACCTTGATGCTGTAGTGTCTTTCATCGAATGTGGGAATGCATTGGAGAAAAATGCTCAGGAATCCAAGTCCCCGTTCCCTATGTATTCAGAAACTGTGGAATTAATCAAGTAAGCTTTATAAAGCAAGTAATAAGTGAAGAGCCAGGGAACAGGCAGGTGGTGCCCAGATTCTGTTCTTGATTTTGTTGCCAATATTTGGAAACTTGCATCTGTAAACTTTACTCAACTTATCCATTCGTTGGGGGTTAATGTCCTTTTAAAAGGACTTTAAGACCCTTAGATGAAAAGATTTACGTGTTAGTGCAAATTGTAACATAAAAACCAAAAAAGCATTCTAAAACTTTCCTCAGCTAGACTTTCTAGTAAATTTTCTATGGATCTCTGATAAAATGTGAGCAGCTGGAACTATGTCTTAATGGTTTTCTTAAAATAATATTAAATTAGATATGGCAATTGATAAATGACATTTTATTTTCATTTACAATTTATTTTGTCATTTACTTGATGTGTTGGTTTGCAGATACACTATGAAACTGAAAAATTACTTGGCACCAGATGCTACAGCTGCAGATAAAAGGCTAGCGGTGCTTTGGTAGGTACATTTTGGTTTAGTAAAACGTCTTGAGTCAAATTAGTGTGTGTGTTATGTCCAAAGATTCAAGTAAGCTTGTCATAGCCATAGATCAATTTTTTCATGGTATACCCTCCCATATTCCTGTCCACAGCCTTACTCCCTCCTGGGAGCCTAGCTCTCGGATGGGGGGTCAGTGAGATGGACAGGGATAAGTGGGGAGAGCGCGTAACATGAAAAAAACTGATCATTGGCTATGACAACTTAATATTAGTCATACATGGTTAAAGCACAGTTTTTTGGACTACTTTTTTTTAATGTTTGCAAATTTGTAAGTAGAATTAGACTGAATTGCTAAAACTGCAGCATTAATGTATCTGTAATTTCTGTTTCCATGCTCACACTTATGTGGATGTGAAATGTTCGCCTTATGTGAAATTGACAGTGTACTATCAAGTTAAATGTCTATTTCTCTGCCATTGTTGCTCTTTTCTGAGAAGCTCAATGTTCCATAAAGCATAGTGGTTGTATTAAATAATGTAGTGATTGTTCGGGAAACAGGGACATTGACATTTATTGCTTAAGAGAGAGATTTGACTAATAGAACACTGATTTGAGCCTTTACCTTTTAATGCTGGTCTTGAAATTGAACTGTATACTGACCCTTAGGATTGAAAGAAGCATCAGTAGAAGACTAGTGGAGCCCAAAGATCTTCCTGTTATGCCCACCTACTGATGAGTCAATGTGCTGTGTATGTCAGTCACTTAATGTTCCAAATTGTTCAGGCTGCTTCAGAGCAGAAAGGACAGGAATCAGTTTGGCATTGGGTGAAGAGGGAGGGGGAAATATGATGTCAGATGCTACATGTTGTGATGCATATCCTGGTGTAATGGGCTTCATTTATTGTTAATATATTTATTTTGTTTATTCGCTAGTCTAGGAGATCATTCTTGGTTGTAATATCAACTCAGTGAGCAGAACTGGTTATGTAAACAAAGACAATGAAGAGCATGTAACTGAGATCTTTTGCTCAGGATTAGAGATGTTAAATTTAGTTTAACCAACTAGTTGATGGACTTTCCATAGACTAATCTATAAGAGGGGGAGCTGCAGCAGGGTTAGTTCCTGGTTCTGTGAGCTGAGCCAGCTGAGAACCAGGTCTCTCTCTCCGCCTCCTCCCTCGGCCTGGCTGCACACCAGCCTTAAACGTAAAAGGCTGGAGCACAGTTGGGGGGACCTGGGGTGAGCCGCGAATCAGCTGTCGCAGCTTGTGCCAAGTCCCCTGGCTGCACTTCTGTTTTTTAAACCTATTAAGAGCCGGCAGGCTCTTAATACATTTAAAAAGAAGAGGCACAGTGTCTGGTACTCCCGCCTGGTCCCTGCTACTCCCCTGGCCTCTGTGGAAAGGGTGCTGGGGGGAACTGGTTTTTAAGATGGCTCTCTTTCCCCCCCCACGCCCCACTGCTCCTCTCCCTCTGATAGAAGCAGCAAGGGGGATAAGTGACTAGTTGACTATCCGATAAGCTTTTGTCCAATAATCTTATATTCCTACTCGGGATTAGACTCTTTAATTTTTCTGAAAAATGAAATCGTGCTACTGTTGATGACAAAAGTTTAACTCTGAACTTCAGATAGTATGCTTGAAAAACACACAGCTGCTAGCTGAGTACTTGCATTACTGAACTGTGGTATGCACATTCATTGTAAATGTGTTGCTGTTTTTCTTTGGCTAGTCTTCGATGCCAGTCCCTGTTATATCTAAGGCTTTTCAAGCTGAAGAAGGAGAGTGCATTGAAATATTCTAAAACACTGACAGAACATCTAAAGGTACAAAGTTTCTGTATTATTGAGAGAAATCAAGAGAGTACCTTAGATTTTCAACTAAAATGTACTTCAATATGCCTCTGTCTGGATAAGTGGCCCTTAAAGTTGAATTCTAACACACTGAACATTAATTTTCTTTTTTGTTACTGATCAAGATGGGAAGGGTGGCTACTTGCAGCATGACCACAATGTTGTTGTTATCCTGATGGTTTTAGCATAATTTTCCATTTATAGTAATTTTTTTTGTCTGCTTTAACGAATAAACAATTGAGCAGATTTCAGAGAGGATGAAAAGAACATCTTCCTGGTTGCAGACATTACAAAGTTTAACCTAACTTTCATGTATGATATTAAGGGAATTCTGTTTCTGGAGGTACATTTTATGACTGCAGCTGTCCAGAAGATGATAGTGAAGTAAATAATTTGTAGCTCATCCAACAACTTCCAAAGTCAGTTTTCTTAGCCAGCTTGCCTGAATTTTCACATACTCCAATGATTTTATATATTTTCGTTAGTATTTAAGGTGCCATGGGACCACTAATTGTTTTTAAAGTTCTGGATTAACACAGCTACCCCTATGAGATACTCCCATGAGACGTTCTAGAATTTTCAGTAAAAACCTGTTTTAAGTCTGGATCTGGTTTAAACCTACTACCAGAGACTAACACATTTCTCCAGCTCACTCACTTGAATCTAGTCCCTGATAGGGTACTTAAGACATTTAAAAGGCTCTAGATGAGATTAAGGATGTTAAGAAGCGGGTAATTGACTAATCATGTACTCAATATAATTTGTATGGTGTACATGATTAGTTAATAAGGGGCCCCACTGTGGCTCTGCAGTTTAAATGTAGTAGGAGCTGGGCACGCAAGCAGTCCAGATCCTACTACATTAAACTGCACAGCTGCAGTGGGATAGGTTGTAGACCCAGCGCGAGCCGGGGCTGCTGAGTCCTGGCTTGTGCCAGGTCCCAGACCTACCTCGCTGCAGCTCTGCCTCTTAAATGTAGTAAGAGCTGCTTGGCTTTGATATAGAAGTAGCAAGCAAGTGCCGGGGAGGAACCAAATAGTTGACTTGACTACCTAATAAGCCTAGACTTATCGGGTAGTCGACTAATCGACTACTCTTTTTTACATCCCTAGATGAAATTGCTTAATCTGAATTTAGGCTGGGATTTTCCAAGGTGTCAGTAGGAATTAGGCACCTAATTTGGAAGCTCATAGTTTTCTTCAGAAATCCTAGCGTTTACTAGAGAAAGCAGCATGCTGAGGTATTTCTAGCTTTTGAGGAAGGAGTTTAATTGCCCAGTACCAGTGTTAACAGCCTTCACTTTGCTGTTAAAAGGAGAATGCTGGAAAAAATTATGAAACTTGCCACCATAAGCAATACAGTCTAGTGGTCAGTGGAAGGAATCAAGTTAGGATACATGAATTCTAATCCCAGCTGTTTGCTATGTACTATAGACAGATCAATTAAATTCTTGGTGTCTTAGTTTCAGCAATAAAATTGAATATTTTGTCGAAATTTAAAGTGCTTTAATTCTCCCATAATGGTTCAGACTTTTGGTTATCACAAAAGTATTCATTTGTAAAAACCTTTTTTAATAAGCTATTAACATGCATTTAAAAATCACCTGGCAAATTTATTTTTCCTAAACAGAATTCCTATAATAACTCTCAAGCACCATCACCTGGCATGGGAAGGTAAGTAGCTTTGTAACTTGTATATTAAACTACTTGATTTGGACATTTTTAAAACTTGAGGGAGAGGGGAATGGAAAAAAGGCAATCTGAAGGAACTGATTTCAGTGATTATTAAACTAGCTAGATGTATCTTTCCTGTGAGAACCAAACTCTTAACAATTAAAGTAAAAACTATTTCCTCCATCTGTTATGTACAATAAAGTGTCAGAGTAGGGTTTATAAAGTCACTCTTTACTCATATTACATAATTTTATCTGAAGTTTCATTAGCCATTTGTATTTCTATAAGGATCCAGGCTATGTGTTGGATAACTGTTAAATATGTTCACTTAATTGTTCAGGTACATTTTGTAAAATTGCTGTTTTTGAAAGCACTCGAGCCGGAATTTTAAATAACTACTTACTGCAGTAGAAGTCTATGCCCTCTAGTACTGGATTAATATACAGCTCTAATTTCAATGGGTTTTGTTCAAATATGACCCATTTACTTCTCCAGCATTAAGAGAACTATAGACTTCCTAAAATGCCTGGAACCATTTGAGCTTGAAATGATATACAGGCAGTCCCCGGGTTACGTACAAGATAGGGACTGTAGGTTTGTTCTTAAGTTGAATTTGTATGCAAGTCAGAACTGGTACATATTTGGGGGGGGAGGGAGCTGGAGTTGGGTGGAAAAGACCCTGATTCTCATACAACTTCCTTATTCTAAGAAAAACACATACTGTTTTGATATGAAGGTTTTTTTGGTTATGATCAATTTTTAATTAAAATAAGTTTCAGTGTTTCATGCTATATCCAAATCTTCCTTTTGGGGTACCTGAAAGATCCCAGTTATTCATTTAATAGTCAGAATCTTTGTTTTTTATAACTAAAAAAAGTTTATTCAATGCATATTACTGTTCCAAATAGAATTTGCTACAGATGGTTCAGTGAAATGGGTATTAAGTGTAATCAATAGTCATTGGAGAGCACAGTGAAATATTGATACAATCAAAGCTGTTGTTGTATTCTGCTGAGCAGAAAATGGAAATCCCTTCCTGTGAAGTGTGGGTGTGAATTTATCCACAGGATTAATTTTAAAGAAAAATTGTGTGTTGGGAACAGGAGTTTAGTCACAGGTGGGTCCTCATTGTCCACTCACCCACTTTGCAACCAGACCCATCCCCT